CAGGAAATTCTGTATAGCTAGAGGATTCAGAAGGGCAGAAACCCAAAACAACATAATGGCCCCTTAACATTTTTCACAAAAAATTGCCATCTGAGAAATATAGATATTTTTCAATCATTTTAGTGAAAATAGATTTACACAGGAGACAAACTCTCCGCGTTTCCGACAACTCGCGTTAAAGACCTAGGAAGTCTTTAAATTCTCGGCTATCCGGGAGACGCCGCGTCGTTGGATGGGGTGCCGACGTTTCGCCTGACATGTCGCAGGCTTCCTCACTGCCCTGAGAAAGCGTCCTCACTGCCCTGAGGAAGCCTGCGATATGTCAGGCGAAACGTCGGCACCCCAGCCAACGACGCGCCGTCTCCCGGATAGCCGAGAATTCATGGATTCGAGCCGCGGAAGCTTACGTATACACCTAGGAAGTCTTCCAAAAACCAAGTAGAATGTCTGAAAATACCTCATTCTGTAGATTAGCGAATTCAAAATTTATCCGCTGTCTCTGATCCGAAAGCCTATTTTTAAGATATTTGGACGCATCGTTTCTGAGTTAATCACGATACTAAGGTGTGTGGTTATTGTGAGTTGCCAGACCACCTGATTACTCAAAAGTTGTAGAATCACCAAACTTCTATGTTTTTCTTCTGAAATCCATTCATGCACCCTTGGGAAGGGGTAATTCCAGTTGAAATGGTAATTCCAATTTCCTACCCAACAGTAATCACTTTCGAGGTTTTGTGTCCGCACTTTCTGAAAAAACGGAAAATATACCAAATTTCCTTGGCGTATCAAATATAAAGGAAGTGGTAATCTCCTCCATACCTCTTTAACTACACGCGGCGAATTACCCGCGAGCCTGCCATCAAATATATTTAAGACGAAAAATAGTTCGCATATTATGATATTTCGGAAACAGCAGCTGCATTTGCCAAAAACGTTTTCCTGAAAACACATTGTATTATTACGTCCACCGCGGATCATGTCAGAATCATTCCATTCCGAATATTTTTACTCATGCGAACGTGGAGTAAAAATGACAGACAGTCGAACTCTACAGAGAGTATGTCTACAAAGAAGTCCGCAGAAAATATAGCAATTAACAGTGTGATAATAGAACCGGTATTTTATTCGTAGACATTATGTGATAATGAAAACTGTGAGAACGGCCAACAAGTTGCATTTCGCAATCGGTAATTAATAAACACTCTTTGCATGGTGCATCACAAAATTCATTACTCCCTTTTTGCGGAACTTTGTTTGCATGGAGTCTTGAATTAATTTAGACATGTTAATTAAAAGTAGAAATTAAAGAGTGAAAATAACTGTTTAACGATGTTTCGGAACGAGTATGTACGTATATCATCATCATCGCAGCACAACAGGTTTGGCCTAGTCCCGTTCCGCTCTCAAGAGTCTCTTTCCATCTTGTGTGGGGTCTGCCTCTGGGTCGTTTCCCTTTTGGTTTGTATTCGAAGGATAGTCTTGGGTAGCCGTTCTTGTGGCATTCTGGTTAGGTGTTCGAGCCAATTCTTCCACGTTGAGTCGATCTTCTCCAGTATGATGGACATCAGTAGTTCACCTCTGATGTCTACATGTGAGAAATGAAGACGTACGTATATATGTAGTAATATACGTAGTGTGTGTTCGTCGTTAATTACGTAAAGCTAAAGAGGAAGGAAGGGTGATCTGAGGCAGCGTTAGGCTGCGTCACATGGGGGTAAGGAGTGTTAGTTATGTGTAACACTAATATTTTTATACAATTAAACTTTTGTTGAAATAATTCCTTTTTTTAGGCCTCAAAACTCAAACATTACAATATTAAAATTATTCGTAACTAATTAATTTGTCTTAAAAACAAAAACGCTAAAGTTATTTGTGGTAATTGTCACAATAAATGGAAACATTTTTTCAAGATTTTTGAAATATTGAAAACTGATATGAGGTATACACTAGAATTCAGTCAAACTGGCACAGTAGACTCTCGCCCATGCGCCTCGCACAAGGTGGCGTGTGCACGGCTCGTAATCGCAATTTTTCTCGTCTGTGCGTCCTTCCTCACCCACAACTTGCCTCACATTGTTTTTACTGTGCTATGATTTATGTTCACTTCTTGCATTTACAGAGGGGTTGTCGCAAGCGTTTACGTAATTATTTAGGGGGGTTCAAGCGCGCGTTACAGATGCGTTACAAGGGAGAGATGGAGTATTGAAAATGCTCGAAATTTGTGGACGATTCCTATAGATAAATGTCATGGTGCGGCAGAAAACGGCGATATTTCTATAGAAAAACTCGTCACGTACCGCCCTGATAAAGAAAAAAACTGGATACATCTTGGTTCGGTGTGTAGTAAAGTACGTCCTTGTAAGTAAGTAAAGAGCAGTCAAAATCCATGATTTGTTTATACTTGGTTCCGAAAAATTGTTTTTCGGCAAAACATCCGTCCGTCTCAAACATGTCGCTCCGTCACGAACATTGTGGTCTAAACTATTCGTATATGACTTTTTCAAAAATTAATTTTCGACGGTAGATGTGGCTCAACCCGCAGCTCTACCACTTTCAAAATAATTCTTTAAACATTAGGGGTACTTTAAGGGTATATCCAATTTTTTCAAAAATGGATACAATGTCCGTCTGTCCGTGTGTAAACGCTACTAGCGCCCAAACCAAATATGTAGGAGTTATTTTCAAATTGAGGAAACCCCTGTCCATTTGGCTCGATTCGAAACTCTGAGATTTTGAAAATTATTCTTTCAAATCTGGGGGCACTTTACATCAAGCCCTCCGGACATTTTCAAAATGTTCTCAAAAATGGCTCCAAATTTTTCTGTAAATTTCTTGTAAAAATAATGTTACATACTCTTATAAACGTTGCATAAGTCCGATTTTCACGGTTAATTCTGAATTTTCCAATATTTCAAAAGTATGATTATTTTCGGTGTGGTCCTACAACTAGAAAATTAAAGATAGAGATTTTTCCATGGAACAAAATATGTTCCCCATAGTAAGTTCTTTCATTAAGGTCATGTACATTTTTTTGGAAATTTTGGTTGTTATTGCGTAATATTGCGTACAATATATGCAATACATGAAATTTTAAAAAAATTTAAAAAGGACGATTTTCTCAAAAATGGTTCCAAATTTTTCCTTTAAACTCTTTTTGGCGATAGCGCTAAATGTACTCTGTAAGAAAACATAAACGCTATATTGCTCTAGTTTTCTGTTTTTTTAATAACAAAAAAGTATTTTATTACTTGTCCCTCATGTATATTAATATTTATACTAAGAGCAAATTGTTCACATTATTGTATTTATGAGTACATGTGCTTTAAATGACATACATTTTCTCGAAAACCCAAAATCTCGCATTTTCAGAAACGCTCAAACACCATTTTCTAAAAAACGGTTCCAATTTTTTCTTCAAACTTTCGAACTAGTTATAATTGCAATCTGTAATATGACGTAAAGTTTATTTCGAAAGTTTTCTTTGTTCTTGTTTTCAAAAATTACACAAATGTAATTTTTTTGAAAGATCTCTCCCTTTGTTGATATGCAATTCCAGCATTTCCAGCAATTTGTAAACACTATTGAATTTGTGAGTTTAAGAACTTAAAATGACTTCATAAGACGTTTCTCGTAAATTTAAAAATGTTCTTTGAAAATGAGCTTCAAATTTCGATGTTTAAAAACGGCCCCAAACTTTTCAAGGAAAAATGCCATTTAGGACCACATTGCACTGTTCTTCAATAATGTTTAAATAATATTAAGTTTCTACAATTAGGAAATCTAAAAATTAAGAAAATGTCAACAAAATATACTTTAGGAGCGATAGATGGCAGCTGGCAAGAGTATATGGCCAATGCGAGAAGCTAGAAAAGACTAAAGGAAATAGAAAACTAAAATGGAAAGTATGTGCCATTCTGTAGTATCACTAATTCGTAGTTAAAGGTCCAGTTGGAAAAAATAACACCAGACCTCGCGCGTTGTAAAATGTACAACAGAAACATTTTTACAATCACACTTCTCTCACAACTCAACAAACTGCTAAGAAAATCTCTGCTATAACAATGAAGTATCAATAAACGAACACACAGAAAGAATTCACTATAGAAGTCCAACACATCATGTAACTATGAAAAATGTTTCACTGTTGTACTTTTACAATAGCTCGAAGGTTAACGATTATTTTTTACCCTTTTAAAATATTTTTTTTTAAATTTATTTGTCTTTGTTCGACTTCTATAGTCTTTCAAGGGTTTTCATATATACATACAGACCCAAAAATGCTTAAGCCTGAACGTCACTTGTCCGCACGCGCAGATGCAGAAAGCGGCGGTGTTTATGGGTGGGAAAGAGTGTGGGAGAGGCAGGCGAGCTTATAAGCCTTTGCAAGACCCTGCTCCTGGCAGTGCACTCGACACTGTATTCCGAGCGTAGGCCCACGCCTCGTCCACAAGCTCCACCGTGTTAGTTTTAGCTCTTCGACCTCAAAAGACTACGACGAGTTCGGGTCGGATCGGATGCTAGTCTACTGGTGAAAGGTCGTGAAACGTACCACTTTGGAAGGGCTCAAACTCGTATTTATTAGATGAACAATACATTCAAAGTGCTCTTTTTTTCGTAAAAACAGTAATTGCCCTGGCGTAAAGTTCGATGGGAATTGTCATTGACCACATTCACAGGTCTGGTTCTCTGAGATAACAATTCTGAACATTGAATTATAACAATTCTGAACAAATCAATATAGAATTGCAATAGTCCTCCACAAAGTACACGTAAAGCTGTGATTTTCTGTTGCCGTGGTATCATTAGTTATGAAGAAAATATTTAACGGAAGATAAGAAACATCCGTTTGTATTCTCACTTGTAATTCACACTTAGAAAGACATCCAAATCAACGTAGTCTGACTGAGTTATAATAAAAGTTCGAGATATACCACCCACCGTGTAAATTTCTCTTATAATTCGTAGTTTCCGAGAGACTTGAAGACAGCCGGTAGAGAGCGATGCCGTCAGACAAAGTCAAGGTCCAGGCGAAGGCCAATCGATTGGCACCAGCCGCGTTCCCAGAGTTCCGCTGGAGCCCGCTGTTCCCGCGGCATCTGGCACCGCGCAGCGACACCGTCGTCGCGAAGGATGTCGCCGACGATTCGGAGCAAACGATCGTCCAAAAGGAAAACCTCTACCCTAACATCGACGTGTCCGTATGGCTGCGCTCCTGCTCTGAAGAGGTGCTACGACCTGTGGAGGGTGTCTCCTCTGGTAAGTCGTTGAAATTCTTCCTTCCTCCCTCCTATTCATCTATTCTCTTGTTTCCTTTTTATCATTCCTTTCTCCTATTTATCCTTCTCTTTTTTCGTCCTCTTCTTTCGGCTCTTTCTTTTTCTCCTCATTCTCCTCATTCTACGTATCTACTTCCTATGTTTTCCTTATTTCCAATTATCTTTCTTCTTTTCTTTCTTGTCTCCGTTTTTTCTTGCATTCAAAATTCCTATTCGTGCTACATGCTGTTTGCTCTAATAGTGAGGCATTCAGTCATTAATGCGAAGTAAGGCTCAGCCCGAACGGTGTCTCTTTAGCAAGCCACGCGTTTCTAAGAAAAAAATTGGTAAAAAAATTCGCAGAAACGGCCAGTAGAGGAAATAATCTGATAATTAAGCCGTTTCAAGTTGCCTGGTATCAACCGAGTTTCATTCACGGAATGTTCCTTCTTTAAGTCCCTGTTAGGCAATTTTGTGTTGTCTTCGTATTGACAAACTTCCAAAAATAAGTTCAAATTAATTTTTCAGGTGGCTTTTTCTCCTGATTTGTTTTTCTTTTACATATCTATTAGGAGAAAGAGATCTTTATGTACTATTACAGGAAAAAGGCCCTATTATTCTTCGAAATAAATTAAAGTCCTTGATACACAAAGAGTTGATTCTTATGGCTTATTTATGAAGTAAACTTTCTTTCAGCGCCTGTTTATGGAAACTACTGCGTACCTTCACAGATTGTTGATTGGAAAGTGTTTCTTTGCGGTACGAGTACGGCAAAGTAGGCTTTAAGGCAAGCTATGAGAAGATATGTCATATTAAACAATTGATTACGAGAAAGAAATGAAAACACATTGGCAACGGAATCAATCTCGCTGCCACGTCGCATATTGAGAATGATTGCAAGAATATGCACTTGTGAGTTTCCATGAATTCGTAATAGAAATTAATGCACGCTACTCATACGAATGTCTCTTTAGCGTTTCAAAATGGCGTACCCTGCTTCGATTTTCGCCTCGTCCATAAACATTTTATTGACATGCCAAAGACTCGATTCCCGTTCTAGTTACGATTTGAACTATTCCTACGTGCAGCGAGAGCGGTGTTCCGTTTTTTCGTACAGTAACACTCCACCTCTCTTCTAAAGGTTAAAGAGTAGCAATTCTGAAATTTGTACACCAAAGTTACTTTTGTACGAAACGCGTACATTAAGGTTTAGAACGAATTCATGGAGATTTACTCAGAAAATAATAGTAAGAAAATGTGTTGATGAAAATATGGGAACGATTATGTTAATTTTTTCAGGCACTATTCCAAAATGGCTGAATGGCTCACTGCTCCGAAATGGACCTGGTAGTCTCAAAGTTGGCAATATGACATTCGATCATCTTTTCGATAGTTCAGCTCTTCTGCACAGGTAAGGATTTGCGAAAAATATGGAAAAATTGTTAAGAGCACGTTATACATAGGTAAAAATGCACTAAAAATATTCGACGCGAAGAAAATAACGTTCGATCTTAAGCGTCAAAATAAATGTTTTTTTCATGAATCAATTATTTAACGTCATTTTCTTGCTTTCTTTAACATGCTCAATATAACTACTTCACGGCAGTCACACTCTAACTAAATAAGTATAACAAAAAATTTCAATTTGTGTTAATTTTTACATTAAAATATGACCAAATGAATGCGTTTCTCTTCATGCTGATGTTATTAGTTTCAATTCTACAGAATTTTAATGAGATATAAAGTTTCTCAATATGAAGTTATTTAATGCAATAGCTGATTCCGGCTCGTATTCAGAAACGTGGAGTACAGCTATCCTCCAACCGTTTTTTTAAAAATAAAGGGGATGCGAATCGCCCACAAAATTATCCCGGAATTAGTCTTTTGCCAGCGTTAAGCAAACTGTTCTGTAAAATACTCAACGGGCGACTAGGTGAATGGGCGGAAAAGTACGGTAAAATATTAGAATTGCAAGCAGGATTTATGAGAGGCTTCGCGACAACCGACAATATATTTCTGTTAGATACAGGCGCTGAGGCGTAAACGGGGTCACTTATATTGCAGTTTTGTGGATTTTGAAAAATCTTTTGACTCTATTAATAGGAATTCTTTATGACGGAAACTAAATGAGCTAGGCGTCTCACGTAAAGTTTTAAAAGTGTTGCAGAGCATGTATAGGGAAGTAAATTTCTGCGTCAGGTGCGGTGGCGGAAGTATAACGCAAAAAATATATTCGACAGTCACCGCTGCTGTTTATCTTGTTTATAAATGATTTATTGACGTGGGTACAGGAAGCGGATATAGCGGCTCCGGTAATTGATGGCTTGAAAATTCCTGGATTACTATATGCTGATGATTTAGTCTTTTGTTCGGAGACGATTGAGGACTTACAGAAGAGTTTAAATATTCTAGAACTGTATAGTGAGACATGGGGACTATAAGTAAATATTCAAAAAACGAAAGTAGTGGTATTCAAGAATGGGTTTATCTGGGGTAGCAAAGAGAAATGGTACTACGCTAGGGAAGAAAGTGACCGCGTCAAAACATTTACATATCTTGGTGCAAAATTTTCCATGAATGGGGGATGGAATAATCACACGATATGACGCTCACAGCAAGAAGAATTGCGCGAAAGAAAACGTCTGCACAGTGCGCAGGTTTCCGAATTGCCAGTAAAAGAGTTGACCGCGATACAATGTTCAACTATCGTTAGTCTCTGCCCAGCTATTCAACTATGGGCAGGAAATCTTGGGGAGTGATAGATCTAGATCGAGTAGAAAGCATCGAAACCAGTATTTTTCAATTAAATCTAGGAGATTTCTAGATGGCATCAAATTGCTGGAGTCTAATAAATAGAGTGTCGTGTAGTATAGGAATTCTGAGAGATGTTTTAAAATAATACCTATTCAAACTTTTGGATTTAAAATTAGGTAGATGAACAGGCTTGACACACTTATACATAGGCTGCTCTTAGAGTGCATGCAGTGGCCTACGGCAACCCCATCGCTACTGGGCGTACAAAATTAAACAGCTACCTTGAACGCAGCGGGATGGAGCACCGTCTCTCCAGAAACGGCTGGCAGATAGGGTAACCCGTGAGATTATGCATACGGCTTATTTCCAATAGACTCGATATTAAAATGGCATAGAGAATTGGGCAGCAACGGCTGCAACTAACGGTTCGCTAGTAGCTCAAATCCCATGCCGAGTCCGTTATGTTGAGTTGCCGAAAGTTTGATGTTCATACTTCTCACGGAAAGGACGCACAAGAGAAGCGGATACGCTTGGCTCAGGTTGGGGATGGATTCCAGCGTAGACTAAAAGGACCGCAAGTGGTAACTGCATCTGTGTGCTTTGCCGGTTATAGGGAAACTGATCCACATTCTCTTTAATTTGCTGGACAACCGAATCATGGAGAACAAAAATGGATGGAGATGGAAATTACTACGCTTCATAAACAGACAACCGTTAACTCTCGCCGCCAAAACATTTTAGGTGATAAAACGCAAAATTTTGAAAGATTAGGAACATTTTTAGGAAAGTTCGGACCATTAGCGGAAACTGGAAATTCAGGGAGTGGGAAAACAGCTACCGGGTTTATGCTTTGAGCGAAGAGCCGTAGGACTGGAGAGAAATATCAATAAGCTCAATAACCCTAACAATATGTATAGTTACATCAACTAATCTTTATATGTAAGTTAGTAACAGTTAAGAAATTACCAGCCATAAGGTCGTAGTCAAACTTGATAAGTAACAGTCCAACTATTAAATAAATTACAAATAAAACTGCATAGTAATAAGCACATTAGCGTCGGGGGAAATGTAAGGGGGTATTCGAAATGGTAAAGGGGCAAGAGGCGTCTGTGCGGTAAGCATCTTCCTGTGGCGCTGTTTTTGATTTCAGGTGTCTTGAGGAGGCCAAAGCACTGGAGGAAGATCGGCCCGGAACGCCACGCCGATAAAAATACGATTGTTAAAATAAACCGTTCGATAGATTAAAAGTAGGTATTCAGCTTCCTGACGTGCAGTTTTTCCCCTTCCAGTGGGTTTTTTCCCTGAGGCCCCCTCGACCTTCCACTGGTCTCTTTTTTTCCCGCGGCTTTGGATTTGCGGACGGAGAGCCATTTCTGGGGTTGAATACCAGAATTTTCGAAAGATTAGAACGCGAAAAGGATGTAGCGTATCCGTAATCGGGCTTCAAACGGCCTTCCGGCCTAGCCACATAGGATCAAGTAAGCTAATATGTTTGTAATAATTACTTATTAAATAAAAAAATTTTCTCAATAATTATAGAAATAAACGTAAACAAGTGATTCTCACTAGAATGTGACACCTGCAACACACAGTTCACGAGCTGTAACATGGTAAGAGCTCTGACGAATGTATTATATAATGGTTGTAAGTTTTACTCACGCAACTTGTCTTGAAAGATGATAGTGCTTCCACCTCTCTGGCTTAAACATTTGAAGCCAAAACCTCGATGCGAACACTGATTACAATATTCCAATTACATATGCACAGGCGTGAAATAGAAACTATTTTCTGTAAAGAGGAGAACTTCTGTCTGTGATTTTCTCCCAAAAATGTAAAGGAATGTCCAGCAGGCGAAGATTAATCACAGGAGATACTTCGAACTCCTGAGAAAGTTAGAACGCAAATTATTGAGAAAGTTCCGAAAGCATGACTGATTTTCCAGAGATTGGTATTGTTTCATAAAATCTAGTGGCTAATTACGTAACTAATACCCTCACCCCACCTGCATTTCTTCAATTCATCGTTCAAGAAAAGTTGCGCGAGTAAACTTCGACGAGATAAACTTCGACGCTGTGCGACCGGTTTCCACGAAAGTCGTCACATATACATGTTTGTTCCCCGAGACGGTTGATGTGCTGTAATTTTGTTGTAACTCTACTAGATGGCGAAGCAGAACAAAATTGGTCTTCATTGTAATTCCATTTCCATTCAAACTGCATTTCACTTCATTGCTACTGACCGTTGCCGTGTGACGAAGCGCTGGCCGAGGAGAACGGGGGGATCGGCATTGGAGACAGAGACAGAGAGGCAGAGAAAGAGAGAGAGAGTCAGATAGATAGAGACGTGTATGATGGATAGGGTGTGACAGACACAGAGGCATACAAAGACAGGTAGAGGTGGACTGAAGCAGACAGAGACAGATAGAGAATCAGACAGAGAAAGAGAGATACAGAAATAGAGTCAACTGACAGACCCAGAGAGAGAGAGAGAGAGAGAGAGAGAGAGAGAGAGAGAAAGGCCAGAGACGGAAAGAGGGGAGGAGAGAGGCGGACAGAGAGACGGACGGAGAGACGGTGAGAGAGACGGAGAGACACGGAGGACAGCAACGCGCGTGGGAAAGACAGGGGGAAAGGCAGAGGATAGCCACGTTGTAAGAGAGACACAGAGAGATAGAGAGAGACTAGAGACAGAGACAAAGACGAGACAGAAAGAGATGAAAACAGAGACAGAGACAAAGAGACAGAAAGAAATGGAGATAAAGACAGAGAGACTAAAAGAGATGGAGATAAAGACAAAGACAGAGACAGAGAGAAAGACGGAGACAGAGTCAGAGAGGCAGATGGAAACAGACTTACAGAGGGGGACAGAGATAGACGCGAACAGAGGCAAAAAAGACAGAGAGGTACGGCCTTCAAATTCTTCTTATTACACATATATTTCGTCGCTTTGGTATAATTAGACTGTAATCAGAAAGAATGGGCACTTCATTTGAGTAATGTTTTCTCGTTTGGGCTCTGTATATGACAGGGGGAGGAAGAAAATGTAGGAGCCGGGCACTGCAAGAAGATCCGTAACAAGTTTTGAAATCCTGCCGCCTCACGAAGTTTGTCTTAGTCTATAACGTGCCATCATATTACTTTGCATATTTTACTTTGGTGAATAGATTTGTTCACAAAAAAGTATCATTTTTTATCATTTGTAATGAAAATCAATCAAACGAAAATTATGCTATCTCTTGAAATTGACGTATTCTTCTTATAGCAAGACGAAAAAGAAGTATTCTTCTTATAGCTAGTAAGAAGACATCGCTCTACCTTTCTCCAAAATGTCATGCACGCTACTTTCTTTGCGCAGGTTCGCCATAGCTGACGGTCGCGCTACGTACCAGAACCGCTTCCTGCAATCGCAGACCTTCCGGCGCAACGCAGCAGCGCGACGCATCGTCGTCACAGAGTTCGGCACCCGCGCGGTGCCCGACCCCTGCCAGAGCATCTTCCAGAGGTAACTGCCCCGCCCCACCATTCAAATTAGTCATCACTCGAAAGGGTCGAACCCTAACAGCGAATCTTCCAGATGCGCTCCCCTCGCCCCACAATTCACACGCACACACCCCACCCAAGGGTCGAACCCTATCAGAGCGGTTTCAGGAGGCACTAGCCCTTGCTTTTCCATTTACACATTCACATACCCCGCGACGGCTGACCCCTGCCAGAGCATCTTCCAGAGGTAATTGCCCCGCCCCACCAATCAAAATTAGCCATCACTCGAAAGGGTCGAACCCTAACAGCGGATCTTCCAGATGCGGTCCACTCGCCCCACAATTCACACGTAGACACCCCACCCAAGGGTCGAACTATACCAGCTTCGGTCGATTAGGGGCATTATCGATTGCCCCTGCACTCGACCCCTCAATGCCGTTCAACAAGTTACGACGTTAGCGAATTTTTGACAAAAGCTACTTAGCTTGAATCCAGTAGTTTTCATACTCTCTTTGTACTTTTAATATTAATCAAAGAGCATACACATACATTTTAAAAGGGTTGGAAAACTCATCACATAACCCCCAACAAGATCGTTCACTTTGTAATTTATTACCTCATTCCTCCGGAAACTGAGTACCAGTCAAATTTGCAGCAAACATTGGATCCAAACAATACGCCATAAATAAATAAACCAACGTGTAAAAATGTACGCATCTGAACTAAAATCTCTAAAGTGAGGTAGAATATGAAAATTACTTCGATTTATTCCTACTTCGCAAAATGTTCTCAGAGGAGCCTTAATTTAAAACTTCAAAATTTCAGGCTCGATGAATAAATATATAAGTCTGATAATAAAAATTTTATCTTTATAACAGTAGGTGACTCAAAATGTACTAAATGTTGAAAACACACTTGTTTAACGTTTCTAAGGAAATATATTAGAATGCAACCCGCAATGGAAAGTTGTTGTGGTTGTGGCCTACAGGATGAATTTGCAGGCGCCTTGCACCAAACGCAAACACGAAAAGTTGTAAAATGCCCCATTCTAAAATGCTTCTGCGATAATTGGATGCTTTGAGTTGGAACACTCTTGATGTTCTAATAAATGTTACTGAAGAATCCCTTAAAAGTTAATATTTTTAAATGGAACCAAATCGAAAATCCGAGAATATGAGACAAATAAATAAATAGAAAAATAATAGAAAGAATTTGGAAATAATTAAATATTATAGATTAAGTACAAGACATTAAGTGCGATAGGTAACAGCAAATGGCAATACATGAAAGACAAGACAAAAGATGCAGTGAATACAAGTTACGAAGGAGGAGCGAGTTAAAGTTTGTTTTGCGCCGAGAAGACGAACAATAGACTGATAAGTGTAGGGCATTGTCGCTACAGTTTTAGAACAGGGAGAGTGGGCATGCAGTCGCGCTAAGGTAAGGACGTGTTCTCTGTGCGAGTTTTTAATAATTTTAATAATCATTTTACATCACAAATTGACGAAAAGTTCTAGTTACTGAATGATGAGAACATTTTGATGAGCAGATATTTTTAAAGTCAAAAACAGAATTTTAAATAATTCGGAACTTTCCTGTGTGGAACGGATGGGATTTGTACTTTTACGTTGGGAAGGAGGAAATGGTCGCTGATAAGAAACATAGCAATTCTTCGCCTAAGCGTGCTTGTTATCATCGAGGGGAAGTAAATATTTTAAAATTTCAGTTTAGAATTATTGGTGAATATTTTTAAGTTGCCAGAATAAAATGTAAATTTCCATTAGAATGTTCATTCATCAGTTTTTAATATCAGTAACTACATTGCACAGAGTCTTGGAGAGGTTTCTCAGCGCATCAACGCATGTCACTGCAGTGCCTCTGACGGAGAAGTCCGAGTTTTGAGTCCTGACATTTTTTAAATTAGGGAGTCTGGTCATGTTCTCTCGCTGTCTGGAGGAGAACTGTTTTGGCCGGTTGCTCTGATAGGTCGTTTTTGTGGTTTCTTTGATCAATACCAAGCGAATGCCGGTATAGTACCCTAACAGACGTGCCACGAATCACGCGCTAAATTTCCTTCTCCTTCTACACCACGTCCTATGTTTGGGACTAATAACTATAATCGTTGCCGTGTCCAGAATCATTAATCAATAAACCAATATCGCACAGATCTGCGCATAAATGAAATGATAGTATATATTATTTTATATGAATGAATTTTTATTATGAAATTATAATGAAAACTGATAGAGAAGAAAAAAGGAAAAGATGTTTCTTTTCCCTAAGAAAAAAGAAGAAAGTAAATAGCGTACCAACCTCACCGTTGAAATTCAGAGTTTCTTACGAAAATGTCCCTGAAGTATTGAAAGTTTATTTAGAACGATTTAAAGCGCAGAGATATGAATATTATTGAAACAAAAGAATAAGTACTGAGCTAGGAACGAGATATGTATAAAGAATCAGAGGTGGCGAAATTATTAGACTAAATATCTTTTCTGAGACATAACGGATTATAATAAGTCCTGAGAAATACCTGACGAAAGTAAGTGTTTGAAGTGTAATGTTTGTTAATGTTATAGCAAATGTATACACATTTAATGGTACAACAAAGTACGACCAGTAATTACAAGCTCTAAAGAAGCAATGGTTCCCTAACATTAATGAGATTTTCGGAAAAAAAATACTGCGCTCCATATCACAACAGGAAAGAAAGTTGGAAAACATCTTCAAGACATTGATAAGTCTGGATTATAATAGGCAGCTAATAGCTCAGACATGAATACCATCGAAAATGTTCTTTAGATAGTTGAAAGATACTTAAAAAAAGTAGGTCATACAAACCAGCTCATAAAACAACTCTCGAATCTCGCAAAATGACATTCAAATTGAAAGAATGGATTAAAAATTTATTTTCAACATACCTCAGAACAAGTATTAATCATGAAATGTTTATAAAACATTAGAACCCTTTTCACAGAGAGTGTCAATATCTACAGTCGCAAATACATTTTGTCTTTTTCAATAAATCTATTCTAATAATTTGGCCACCTTTGTAGAGGAAACTAATAGAGGGGCCCACTTCTATATACAATGTATGTATGTGTGTGTATATATATACAATGCATATATTGTGACGAATGCGAGTGAATAGGTTCGTCCCACACGCCCACACATCATGACCAGTGGTAGACTGAGGGAACGAGCGCGGCACATTTTGAAAAGGGCGCGCTCGCAGCCTACACTACTGTTGCGCTCTATGTCCGCGGCATGGCGAATGAAAATAATGTATGAAACAGTCGGACAGGAGAGAGGAAGAGGCCGCGATCTACACCTATATCGGAGGGTGCGTTCATAAATAGGCGAACCCACGGTCAGTCACTCTCTTTCGTTCCCGTTCGCCAAGCCAGCAGCACCCGCATGAGTTCTTGACCGCCGCAGCAATAAGGGAATGTTGAATAAATTGTATATTTTGTCAGTGTTTAATGTAAAAAGGAATTGTAACAAAGTTAATTAATCAGAGTAACAAAGGGAATTCACAGTAATTGTTAGTGTGATTAGTCTAACGAGTAAGTTTTCTTCATTGAAAAGGGGTCTCCCTTTTTTTGTATTTCATTGTTATTGGTGTAATTTTTGTAAGCGACGAAAAGGGTTTTAAGATTATTAAAACCAGTTTAACTGATTTATGTCTTCCTTTTATTGGATAGGCTTTCAACATCCCAAAATATCCCACTGCCCTGAGATATTACAAGCTCGCAAGAGCACTATATTTGCGAGGTTCCTAATAGGCGATTTTACATCAATTTGGGAACTAAAGAAACTAAAGTAGAGAGGACGTGAAATTAAAGATTCTGTAGGCGTTAGCCAGTTTGAACTTAAATATTCCATTGTAAACAGAAGAAGAAAATCAACACTGCAATCTCGTATACTCTATTATTTTTTCTTTCTTTAGAGTTTCTGCTCTCTTCAAACCAGGAGACACGTACTCTGACAATGCTTTGATATCAATATATCCATTTGGCGATGAGTAC